CATTCGTACCATTCTCTTTCTTCTTCACTTCGTCAGAATTCTCCTTAACAGTGGCCTTTATTGCTTCACTACTGTTGGCATTTCTCCTACCTTTTTATGCGTTTTTGCATATATGCAAATGCGAAAAAGCATATTGTGACGACCCCCGTGTGTGTGCGTGTATGTGTGTGCGTCTGTGCGGCTATTTCAACTCGGCACCGAAGCAAGCTCCAGCGTTAAAATTTTGTTAGTGGTCTCCCCGGCCAGGTCCACCCCAGCATCGCGGTGCCACCCCAGGACCGCGGTACCAACCCTCACGCAAGTCTAGGCCCCACGTACAAGAGGGTGGAAGTTTGGGCGGGAAAATCGCTAACTCAGGAACCAGAAGAGCCAGAAAGCTGAAATTTTGAGGTTATGTTCCCCGTGCACATGGGACTCAAAGATTTCAAACTGAGGGTTCTGGCGCAAAAATCGCTAACTTGGGAACCAGGAAACTGGGAGGCTGAAATTTTCAGGGAATGTTCCCACTACACATGCAACTTAATATCATCGAACTCTGGCCCAGGCGCGCGTGGTTTTCACGTACAGCCCGTAAAATTTTTTGGCGGAAAAGCGGCTAGCTTGGGGACCTGGAAAGCTAGGAGACTGAAATTTTCAGGGAATTTTCCCAGTACATATACAGCATAAATTATCAGCCCCTCGATGCGCAAGGTTCTCCTTTACGACCCCACGGAAATTCTTGGCGGGAAAATGGCTAATTCAGGAACCGGAAAAGCTGGGAGGCTAAAATTTTCAGGGAGTTTTCCCTGTCCGAGTACAGCGTAGACAGTTCCTGAAACCCGAGGACAAGTATGTCACACATTTCTAACTACTGAGTTTCCGAGTGATCTCACTACAGCACGAAACACTGCAAAAACGCATGATGGCATGGCCCGCTGCGCCACCCTAATGATTTTTGCTGGCAAAAGCGAACAGTCTTAGCGAATTGAACCCATTAACTTTTTTTTGGTTTCAAGAGAATGTATTGAAAAGTATAGACTGGAAAATCTCGTAGAAATGTAAACGAATGAATACCGAATAAAAGCTTGTTCGCTGAACCCAGACCCACCATTCTTTTTTCGGGCCTTTGGACTGTAACCATTTGCCATGAACACGTGGGTCCCTCTCACAGATTTTTCAGTACAGCCCTCAGAGGATAGCTAGTTCAGTAGATTCTGGAGAAGAACTGTTAAAAAACGATCTTTTGGTGAGAAAATTGGGTGAAAATAAAGCATTTTCAAAGGAAAAAGACATAAAAACTAGACATTTTTCAGTATTTACGTTAGAAGGCATTCTAATTGAAGAAGTTACCAAAACAGTTACAGTGACGATGTTTAAGGAATAAAATGACAACTAAATTTCATACAAGTTAGGCCTAGCCGTTATAAAGTTGAAGTGAAAGTCCTTACTGTGCTTTACAATTGGCAGGAGCAAGGAACTGTAAAAGGCTTCAATTTTACTGGGCAAATAGTGCGGATATTCCGTACCAATAATGTTAGTGAGATGCTTCCACACACCGAGTACAACTGCGAAAGGCCTTTCAATCCGGAGTCGGTACCTTCAGCTACAACCACTGCACAAAATCTA